ACCTAATGTGCATGATGCAATGGTACATTTCAAAACTATTAAGAAATGAATATAATTGTGATGGATGTGTTACTTAGTTCAATGTAAGCACTTCACATTGTTTATTGAAGCAGTACCCTGAACCCCATAAATGCATCAATGTACAAAGTTATGATTTAATAAAAAACAATTAAAAAGAAAAAAAATAAGATACCTTGTTTATGGCATTTTGATATGGCAGATGAGCAGACTAAGACGCAGGATAAATGCACTTCTATCTCTTATAATTGTTGAGTTTTTTCTTTTTCTTTGCAAGAAGGATATTTTTCAAATATTTTTCCCACATCAAATGTACAGCATTGCAGTAATATTAAATAATTAATAGTTTCCTGTGGATGAGATCTAGACAAAGCAGCATGAATAACATGACTTCCAAGATATTTTTAAATCTTAGGCAATGATAGCACCCTCTTCTTCCTTCTTTTTCCTTTGTAATGATGACAAATGCTACTCAATTTACTGGAAAATTGGATAGGAGCAAAAGTTTTGTACCCTAAATATATGAGCTATCCGCAAGCTGACTTAACCTTAAAATACAAAGTATTTCATTATGTTCTAATGTGAAAAGCCTTGATCAACCACTATTTTCGTGGATTAGCTTTTCATGATGACAGGCAACATACATTCTGTGCCAACATTGTGTTGATTTGTTCATTTAATTGTTTATTCTTTTGCTACACTTCATTGATAAAAGAGAGACTATGGGGTGGCGCCTGTGGCTCAAAGGAGTAGGGTGCTGGCCCCATGTACTGGAGGTGGTGGGTTCAAACCCGGCTCTGGCCAAAGACTGCCAAAAAAAAAAAAAAAAAAAAAGGAATATGTCCATTCTGCTCACTCAGTAACAGAATTCCAGCTTTAATCAATTTAAACAAAAAAAGAGAATTTATTCATTCACATAATTTTCCAATGTATGGTTAAGGTGTGATGTAGTAGAATTGATGGACTCAATAAAAGAAAACACGACGTCTCGATGATCCAGTTTGACTTTCCTGTGTGTTGGCTTCTTTCTCAGGCACACCTTCCCTATGTAATGATGAACATATCTCTCACCAGAAATGGGGTTTTATTATCCTCACCCAACTAGAATCCCAACAAATTAGAATGTTCTTCCTGATAAATCCAGCCAAAGCCCTATGGGGTGCAATACAGTGGGCTTTTCTACCCCTGATCCCATCACCTTAGTTCAGAAGAACAAAGTAACCTTACTGGTCAGACCTGGGGCTCTGTCCATTCCAGGAGCTGAGGTTAAAGTTAGTCTCATCTAAACACATGGGCCAAAGGAAGGGAGATGCAGTTCCTTGTGGAGAAACTACACTGGGGGAGTAGCGGATGGTAGGGAGAAGCCAAGAAATGTACTCCCATTCCATTTCACATCCCCAATTATGTCCAATCATGTTATTCCACATAGCATATCAAAGTCCAACAGCATTGAAATCCAAAACCACATTCTCCCCTGAGTTAGAGTTTAAAGAATGTCAAGTCTCCAGATTTCTTGGTCTGTTTGTTCTGAGCGAGAGTATTTCCATCAGCACCTGTGATCTGAGATATCTCTCACTAGAATTGGGTCGTTATCCCAGGCAAAAATGTAATTCTCAGAACACAATATTTGTTGAGGCTTGGTGATATTCGAAATAGAAAGGGAAGATGGATTGCTTTCGCCAGAATGCCATGAAGTCTATCCAACTGTCCAGAACCCATGTGAAGCTAAACTCAGTCAGGAGACATCTCCCCACAAAAATTAATTTAGGTGCTAAACATTTACCATATCTGTGAAGCTAAACTCAGTCAGGAGATATCTCCCCACAGAAATAATTTAGGTGCTAAACATTTACCATATCTGGATTGGGCAAACCTCCTACACAAGTTGTCTCCTTTTTTACAGAATAAATTTCAGACATTGCTGCCTTCTGGCAACAGTGTAAATTTATAACAAGTACAACCCGAGCACCAGCTCTTCCCTGACATTTCTCTCTTTTTCAACCCATGGATTCCTGTAGATGTCCCTCTCCCATATCTGGGCTCCCAGCGCCTATGTGCTCCCCTGATGGTGAGTTCTATATAGTAGCACAACCCACACAGTATCCTGGGGCAAGCAGTGGCTTTTTCAGTCTCATATTTCAGGGGCTGCTGCCACTGCCTTTATTGGGGATACACTTATGCCTAAGACACTCGCCTGTAAAGGAAGTTGTCACTCCTCACCTTTGTTCAGCCAGGAGAACTCTTCCAGATTCCCAAAGTGAAGCCGCTTTTGGTGCTTCTTAATGCTGGTCCTCCCCTATGTAAACCGGGCAGTGTCCTTCCTGCGTGTTCCTCATGACACCAGCATCCCTGGCTCTCCTCTGCTGCAGGACTCTGTAAGTTCTCAGACATGTTCCCTCAGGGTGCTGGCAATGCCTGCTTGCGTCCCTTCTGCATTACCTTGAAACTCAGAAACTGTTTTCACTTTTAACACTTTAATTCAAGATGCATAACTCCATTTCCCCTGGTTGCCAAAATCCATATTTTTGAATCTCCACATCTCCTTCACAGAGTCCTTACGTTTTCAGGAAACACAACTACCTCTAACTCTGGAAATGGCCCATTTGGTTTAAACCAAGCTGTGTAATCCATTCCCCGGCAACAATCACTGTTGGCCATTCGACTAACCAAAACTAGTCCAGTTAGAACATCTCAGGACCCCACCTGCCGCACAAGCACCAGAAAAGCATTTTCTTCCCCTTCTGTTCATGCAAACAGAGGCACGAGGCAGGCACCCTTTCTAAAACCGAGGAGTATCTATCTAAAACTGATAGAACTTGTGTGGAAGAATAATTATTGTCTTTATCCAACTATCACCATGAAAGACTATATTTTTTCAAAATTTTTTTTGAGACAGGTATCTGCCTGGACAACGAGCTAGTTTTTCTGTTTTTAGTAGAGATGGGGTCTTGTACTCGCTGAGGGTGGGGTCTCAAATGCCTGAGCTCACCGATTCTCCTGCCTCAGCCTCCCAGAGCATTAGGGATTACAGGCATGACCCACTGCGCCTGGCCCACAACTCCATATTTATTCCAAAAAATAAGTGACTGAGGGTCTCCTCTTTAAGAGTAGCATTCTGAGGTCTAAACTATACCCCTTTTTATACATTTACATGTATACTCACTGGTAGAAAAGTCCTGTCCTCTGAGGGAGGGTTTTATTTTTTTAAAACACTTACAAGTTACTCAGGATCAAGAGTAAAGAAGCAGGTGACCAGTTTGAGTAATGGTATTTTGGGGGGCGGGGGGAGTTAAGAAAACTTTGTACTCGTGTAAAAACTACTCAGGTAGTTTCCTTGTTGCTAAAACACAGGTCCTGAAGGCGGTATCTCTTTTTGAGATAATGTAACCACTTAATATTCATTGTGGGAAGAAAACATCTCCACTTCCTATTGCATCTTATTGAACTCTGGTTTTATACTGACATTTTAAAATATTGAGATTCTATCTCAAAATAGCTAATCCCTAAAAAAAAAATAGCACCTGAACATTCCTTCTCCAGGGTTAAAACCACAAGTTTACTTTGTCGAATTGCTATATTAACACTTGCATGCGACTTCACTAGGGGAATACATTGTAAAGAGGATGTTTAGATGTTAATATGCGGTTGACATAGTCTGGTGCTCTCAGCCACACAGACAGGGTAAGGCCAGATGGTTCCACATCTGTGGGGCCCCACATACCATACATGAATTTTGAGTTCCTGTCTTATAGAATTAACTGTTACAACTTCCTTTTAACTCTTGAAGCTCTCTTATTACCCATTCCAACAAAGATATATATGCTCCAGCAAAGCCTGGCAGGAATCATTCACTCCATTTCAATCCCCCAAGAAGTACCATTCCCATGCCAATATCAACATACCAAATTTGGTCCTATTTTAAAACATACCTCCAGTGAAGGAGTGCTTCTCAGTAACTTATTTCAGAATCAAGGATTGTAAAACTCTGGTTTTTGTCATGACAAATAATCACACCGTTTTTTTTAAGCAGTGTTAAGCAACATGTAGAACAGATCTTATTAATACCTCTTCTGAAGAAGGATCTCTCCTTGTGCAACTTACATTTTTAAACAAACTGATAGGACGTAAGAAAATCTGATCCTTTAGTAACCTAGCAAGACTTCTGCACAGTTACTATAATATTTTGAGAGGAACAAATAGATGAGAGAAATTTTGTTTTTAGAGCTTGGCATTCCTAATCCAAACTAGAAGATGAGCATAGCATCTTGTACAGGATCTTTCTCCAGAGATGCTCTGAAATCAGCCGTCTCATTTGTCTTCATCAGGCAAATGTGAAGTCGAGGAAGATGTGTGTTTCATTTATGACTTCAGAAATGAATTTGTCAGCTACCTGATGGAGTTTCTCCTTCAGTAAACAAAGTGACAAAAACCATTTTAAGGAGTGTTGCCATCTTTTAAGATGATTTGATCACCTAAGTCCAAAAAATAAAACAGAATGATTATGGGACCAAACTCAAGAGAAATGTTAGTGAGCAGGAGTCCCTTCTTTTAATTTCTTTTTTTTTTTTTTTTTTGAGACAGAGCCTCAAGCTGTCCCCCTGGGTAGAGTGCCATGGCTTCACGGCTCACAGCAACCTCCAACTCCTGTGCTCAAGCGAGTCTCCTGCTTCAGCCTCCCAAGTAGCTGGGACCACAGGCGCCCGCCACAACGCCCGGCTATTTTTTGGGCTTTTTTTGGCAGCCATTATTGTTGTTTGGCAGGTCCGGGCTGGATTCGAACTCGCCACCTTAAGTGTATGTGGCTGGCGCCTTAGCCGCTTGAGCCATAGGCGCCAAGCCAATTTCTTCTGATTAAAATTTTAAAAACCACCTATTTCATGGAAGGAAATGGGAAGTATGACATAAATGTGAGTGCACACACTGTTTAGTGTGTAACAGGGGAAGCAGAAGGTCTATCTCCCAAACAAATATGACAATGAGTAATTAAGACCAAAAGTCATTTATTCACCAGCGATGTCAGAACTCAAAGTTGTCTATACTTAAAATCTACTTCCTCTTGAAAAAGAAAAATGCATTGAAAGAAGATGCAAACTGTGGCAGAGTGTATCATTATTCCACAGCAGTGATTATGAGACCGTGAGCCACAGGGAGATAGAAGAAGCTTTAAAAAGGAATAGCTATTGAGGACCAAAAAAGAGAAGCCCTGAGCAGGGTCATCAGTAGAGGTGACAATGGACAAATCTGAGAAAACCAGTGTTGGAATGACTTGCCCATGTGGAAAATACATCTGCAGAGAAACTAGATAGCAGGACCTGGCTCTAACTCCAAGTACCTGATTAAAAAGACAAGCAATCAGATTTGAAGCCTAAAAGATAAAATTACAAACTGTGTCATGTAAAATCTAGGAGTTCCTTTATTTGTTTATCATCTTCATTTTCTCCATATGCCTAGGAAGCAGAAGGTCAGTAACAGGAAGTTTACTCTTTTCTCTCTATCTTTAAATTTTATAGGGGATTAGGAACAGCTGTGGACCGGTTGAAATTACAGCAGGAAGAGCTTATTGAAGCAGGGCTGACAATAGGTCTTGTCATTCTGCTCCCTGAAGACGCCCTTCGACAACTGTGTCAGGCAGAAGGCACACACGAAGTGCTCGGGATGGAACTTGTGCCCCATGGCACTAACGCAGCGGCCGGTGATGGGCTGCCCACACCCATGGCAGAGGGTTCCTTGGCGGCGATGGTAATGGAGCTCACAGAAAGGACGTCCATCCAATTCAAAGAAAGAGCCAGTATTAAAAGTGCTGAAGCAGTCCTAGGAGTAGAGAAAAGAGGGAGAGAAAGAATGCATATGTCAAGAGGTGAAATGTCAGCACAGTAAAATTTGTACCCTTGAAATTCCCACTAGTTACCTGCCAGTTACAGGATTTTCACATGGTCCCTGACAAATGGAGGCTAGGTTGCCCGCTTGCAAAATGGACAAGCAAATGCCCACAACGGAGGCTGTGTCTTGATTCTCCACTAGGAAACCCACCTCAATTCCTCATCTAGGACTGTCAACCCTTTTTTTAGTTGCAGCTCTTCCTCTCAGAGAGGTGAACACTTGACTTCCCTAAATCCAAAGAGCAAGTGAATATACAAACCCCACACACGAAGCACTCTGGGTGCCAGACAGTGTCCATGGCTGAAAGGTAGTTTTCCAACACTGGGCGGTTGCAGCCACCACACTTTGGTGAGAACATGGCTAAGAAATCCTTTCGGCAATAAGGCTTCTTGTCCTTCTCATGAAAGCCTGGAGAGAGAAAATCAAAGATCCACTGTTGCAGTTTGAGCTCTTCAAGCTATATTGCAGGCTAAGAAAAAACCATTCATCTAACCTCTCCAAAACCTCAGAGTTCTCATATTCAAAATGGGTCAGTCACAGATATGTACCTCAAAGGATTATTATAAGAAAGAATGGAAATAATGTAGGTAAAGGGTGGTGGGATTGTATCTGGCTCAGAGTAAGCATTTAGTAAATGTTAAGGGCTATTCCTCCTCAATGCCTTTGTTCTAAGTCTTCCCTTGGCCTGGGCACTTCTGCTCCAGACTATCCTCTTCTTGTCATTCAGGTCTCAGCCAAAATATCATCTTCTCAAAGAGGCATCTCTTCAGTCCCTCCTTGTCACTGTATATTTTTAAAAATCGTCTTTACAGCACTCATCATTACCTGAAACCATCTTCATGGTCCGGCTTCTCTCACTGGAACATCAGCTTGGAGAGAAACTAGATATTGTTGGTCTTATCACCACTATATCCCCAGTATCTAAAGCAGTGTTTGAGAAGGAAAGAGCCTAACATTTTAAAATAAAATACCACTAAATAATAATTTCCAAATGAATGTAAGATCTAAATATAACAATTCAAATCATATACTTGAATTAAAAATAGATGGATTCCTTTTTAGAAAGGGGAAAACAATCATAAATAGGGTTCAAATGTCAAAAGAAAATTAAAAATTAATAAATTTAGCTACATAAGCAATATATATGGATGACATATCACAGCAAAAGAAAAACCAGTATAAGCAAAGTCAAAACCAAAAGACAAACTGAGAAAAATATTTGCTAATTATATTCCAGAAAAAATATACTTAATACAAAGAACTCCTAAACACGTGCATAGTTTCAATTGTTGTATAAAATTAAAAAAGTGAAAAAATTAAAATGAAAAAAAATCAATCCCTAAAAAATGTAATCAAGTTGAAACACATTAACTATTTATCCAATAGATGACATAACCAATGCAGAAAATAATTAATTCAAGAGGCTTTAAAACACAGTATTTCCCCCAGGCATTCATAATTGATGCATTCTAAAGCCAAGACATGCTATAAGAAATCTTAAACTGTTTTTATGTATACCAGAGATCTGTTCAGAGAGTAGATTTTGACGCTCTGATCACACACACACACACAAAGGGTAACCATGAGAGAGGAACCATATGTTAATTTGCTTAACCTCCAGTAACTATTTCATTGTATATAAGCACATCAAACTATCATGTTGTACATCTTGACTCTATACAATAAAAGTAATATGGTTATTTGCAATATTTATATGCTTTTTGAAATTATTATAGCCAGACTGTCTAATAAAGCAAACAATTAATCATGTGAATGCCTTTGGAAAACAATATTTCTGGCATTAAAAATAAACACAAGTGTAACATTAAACAACAAAAAGAAAACCTATTCATACAATTAAGTAAGAAATATTAGCATGAACTCATGATTTATCTTTATGTTTAAAAAAATAGATTCTAAGGCCAGGCTTGGTGGTTCACTCCTATAATCCTAGTACTCTGGGAGGCTGAGGCAGGTGGATTACCTGAGCTCAGGAGTTCAAGACCAGCCTGAGCAAGAGTGAGACCCATTCTCTAAAAAATAGCTGGGAGTTGTGGTGGGTACCTGTAGTCCTAGCTCCTTGGGAGGCAAGAGGATCTCTTCAGCCCAAGAGTTTGAGGTTGCTATGAGCTATGATGCCACAGCACTCTACTGAGGGTAACAAAGTGAGACTTTGTCTCAAAAAAAAAAAAAGATTCTAACCTCTGTTCACTGAAAAACAGAAGAAATGACAATCCCCAAATAATGATCATCCCTAGTTTTTTAAATTTTATATTTCTTTACTTTGTTTTTATTTATTTATTAAATCATAATTGTGTACATTTATGGGGTACAATGTGCTAATTTGATATACAATATCACCTCATATACTTTGATATATTTGATATACAATATCACCTCACTTACTTATTTGTTGTTGTAAGACATTTATACTCTACTTTTAATAGTTTTGAAATGTACCATTGCATCATGCACAATAGGCAATGTCCCACCAAATACCCCCTCTCCTCCCGCCTTCTCCCTTCCCTCCCGTATTCCTCCTCCTTTCTAGACTATAGCTGTGTTTTATAATTCATATGAATATATGTAGGTGATTATATATTGGTTTCATAATAGAATTGAGTACATTGGATACTTTTCTCCCACTCTTGAGATACATTCCTAATTTTTAAATTATCCCCATTAAAGAAACCTTTTTGATGAAAGGGATCAGTATGGGGCAAGGCTGAGCCTAATGTATCTTGATGTACCAAGGAAACAGAAAGATAGCATAGATTACAGGAGTCGTGTGAGAAAGATGCATTGCAACCAACCTGAAGGGGCTATCTCTGGCCTCAGATAAAATAATTTGAGCATAAAAACAAACAAACAAAAACACTGCAACTGATCAAATTGCATCAATTATGTATAACTTCATGAGTTCATAACGGTCTTAAAAGCCAAAAACTCATTAGTCTTTATTGGCTTTGTTAATGAACCCACACATTACTCTTATAAAGGGAAAAGTCAGACATTTTTCCCACCCTTCATCTATAAAATGTATTGACAGATAACCAAATAGTTGATGGTAGAAAGTTAGTTTTCATAGGATCCCAATTAACCAATGTAGAAGAACTGATAGAAAACTCAGCATTTTACTACCTAGAGCACTGAATGTAGTCAACAATCATCGATGGGAGACCTTAAAATGGAGGGGTCAGACGGAACTGCTTAAAATAAAACAAGTGGTCAATCCTAGCATCCATCAAAGTGGGCAAGCGGTCATTATATAACTTTTGACATAATTCAATAAGAAATGCACAGCCCCCAACCCCTGTAACCTAGTCCCAAGCCCCATAAAACTGAACTAAACATAAATTCTAGGTTTAAATTAATAATATATAGAAAATACAGGAGTTGGGGGGAAATAAAGAAAATAAACAGTATCATGAGCAAGCAGTCAGCCAGATCAAGAACATGGAACATTTTATAGGATATAGGTTTCAGCTCTAGAACAAATCACTGGCGAAAAAGGTGGGGAAGAGAGAACTCCTAATGGAACTTTTTAAACTTGAGAGACAAAACAGACAAATGCAATGCTGAGACCTTGTGTGGACCCTAATTCCAAGAGTCTATGACTCTTTTTTCAGAATTTAAGAAATTTGAATATGAGTTATGAGTTTTAAATGATAAGGGCCAGGTGTGTTGGCTCACACCTGTAATCCTAGCACTTTAGGAGGCTGAGGGAGGTGGATTGCTTGAGTTCAGGAGTTCCAACCAGGCTGAACAAGAGCAGGCAATGTCTCTACTACAAATAGAAAAACTATCTGGGTATTGTGGCACATGCCTGTAGTTGCAGCTACTCAGGAGGCTGAGGCAAGAGGATCTCTTGAGTCCAAGAGTTTGAGGTTGCTGTGAGCTATGATGCCACAGCACACCACCTAGAGTGACTGAGACTCTGTCTCAAAAAAAAAAAGAAAGAAAGATAATAAGGAATTGTTAATTCTTGAAGTCTAAGTGAAGTGTAGTTTTTTTTCAAATCCTTAGTAGTGAGCAATGATGCATGCATGTTTTTGTAGAGATAGGGTGACGCTTTTGCTTCAGCTGTCTCAAACTCCTTAAATGATCCTCCTGTCTTGACCTTCCAGAGAGCTAGGATTATAGGCATGAGCTATTGAGCCCCACCTAGAACTTGCTTTTAACTATTCCAGCCAGAAAAAAATATAAGTGTATGGATGGGGGTTAATAGAGAAATAAGTTTGGGGAAACATTGAACTTATTTTTTTTTAATTTTTTTTTTATTTTTTGCAGTTTTGGCTGGGACCGGGTTTGAACCTGCTACCTCCAGTATACGGGGCCAGCACCCTACACTGTGAGCCACAGGTGCTGCCCTTGAGAAATACTTTTAATTGTAATACATTGGATATCAAGAGTAAGCCATGAAACTCAAAAGGAAACAATGAAGTTCTAACATTTGCTAATCAGTAGTTTAATTTCTAATTTTAGCTAAGTGATAAAAAGAATGTTAAATAAATATACCCAATGCTAGAAAATATATGGCATGATCCATATTTTCATATATTCCTGGTAATAAAGTTAACAGTTATTATCCTTTTGGAAAGTCATTTAATAATGTATATCAAGGAATAATGAAAACATACAGACATCTCAATCCTGGAAATTAATCCATACAAATAATACAAAAGAAGAAAACATTCTGTTTAAAGATATTCCTTGTAGCACTACTAAAACACCAGAAGTAATCTACATGCTATGCTAGTATTACCATATTTACTTGTTTGCAATATTTGGAACTATAAATAATGTCTAAATGAACATCTTCAGACATACAGCATTTTATCTTTTATAATTTCTTATCATGAAACCCTAAAAGAATAACTGATATTGCTAAAATTATAAAACTATAAAACAATATGGAGAAATGCTTAAAAAAGAAAAATAAAGTACATAACAACTTATGTATGCCTAAATATGAATAAATATAGGAAAACACTTGGTAAGGAAAATTTGAAATATTCCTTTAAGTTAGAAGGGCAATAAGCAACAAATGGAATTTTCTGCCAAGTCTTTTATTTTCTTCACATTAAAAAAAAGAAAAACATGAGATCTGAAAAATTTGAAAACTATCCTAGAAAAAGTGCTACACACCTCATGGCTGAATATCACTATGCTCACCTTTGAAGTCCTCCTTTTAGGAAGCTATGGTTGGACACATCAGTGCCTAGTCCAACCTTCAAAGCAATTTTGGAATTTTTTTTGGAATAGCCACCAGAGATGTAGTCATAACTACCCTTGATGTCCTGAATGCCACCAAAATGTCTTCCTTTCAATATATCCTTTATCTTTGGATAAAGAAAAAAGTCATTGGGGGCCCATGAAGGGGAGTAGGGAGAATGTTCCTATACAGT